GAGATCGCCCTCTCTGCTTGTCCTGGTGACCATTGTCCCCGAGACAGAAAGTAACATGAAACCTGACATTTTACAGATATCACTAGAAAAAAAGGTGAGGGCAAATCTTCCTATGGGCACACACGTTCCAGTGACATTTGTCCAAGAGGGGTCCTTTGTAAAGGTTTCCTCTCACTTTCTGTTGTGTCTCTAGGACAGAAAGTGAAGAGAAATATTACCAATGGGCACAGACAGTAAAAAAAACTGACAGGGGTTTTAACCCCTTCCTACTCTTTCCAAATAAAAAATGAACATGTTATATATATTTTTGTTAGTCTGTGTTAATATATGCAAACAAATGCAGATTATCTGCAAAGGAGAACTATTTTGGACCTCTCTTTCAAGAATCCCCAATTTTTCTGCAGAAATGAAAGATTCAGTCATTAATGCACTACATTATATAGCTCGTTTTATTATATAGCTCGACTCATTCTCATTATTCCAAAACAATATGCATGTTTGTTCCCTACCTGGACAACTCATATGTGTCAGTATTTACCCTTGTGGTAGAACAAAATGGGGTATTAGAATTTTTGTTTAGGGAATCCTACTGATATACTTCAGATTCTATGTGCCCATGCTATTTGTGCTTCTATAGGTAAACACCATACATGTTAATCTGATAAAATGCATATGTTTAGTTAAAGCTGAACTCCAGGTAAACAGCTAAATACGTAAATAAAGTACATATTGTGAAAGTTGAGGTTAGACTGGATGGCAGGGTCATGATGGAAGGTAATGGTGTTACCTAGGGTTCTCACCTATATAGGGCGAGAGACTCTAGTATATGTGTCTAGTAGAAAGAAAACAAGATTTTTAGTTTTCTCAGGGTGTGGCAAGTCCTGGTCTGGGTCCTGAGGTTTTGTAGAGTTTTAGGTGGGATGAAGCCTCCAACCTAGGTCCACATTATTAATATTAATAAATATAAAATGCATGGAAGCCCTACGAGTCCTTGGAAGCACCACATTAAAGCCAATTCCCACAATATATAAGAGCTGTTTTACCATGTGTATAGTGGTGCACTGTTTGTTCATTTAGAGCAGTTGTCCTTAGCTTCTCTCCTTAAGGTCTACTAACAATGAGCACATTTCTCACTTCCAGGAACATTTATAATAATTAGTATTACATTAATTATCTCATCGGTGAGCTGGAGAAAAAAAACCCTGAAAGGTATGCGCTGACAAAGGCCTAGAGGGCCAGAAAAAGACCACAGTTTTATATAAGCTTATTTAAACCTTAAGATTAACTCTTATTATGTTGTCACCTTAGTTAATATAACTTGCATTGAAAAGTCTTTGTGACCGTGTTACATTGGTGTACCCCTAAATTATAACCATGCCACTTTATACTGACATTCCTGCCTGCGTTAGAACATGTAAATTACAGATTTCTCGAAACCCATTTTAACAATTCTTATCTGGTTAATTTTGTAGAATGAAAATCACTAAAATAAACTATTTAACTGTCAACATTTCCTGCTCACACAATGTTAGATATTATAACATTCATTATGTATTTTCACTCATTCTTTAAAAAGAGTTTTGCTGCTTTTAGCCAATTATTTTACTTTTTTGTTATGTTTTAAATTATACAGTGCACTGTATTCCGGCATTTCTGGAAATAAAATGTCATATAGTAATGAATAAAAAACTAAACAATCAACATTTTAATAGCATTAATTATCTATTTTGTTTAATTTTGCTTGTCAGCAGTGAGTAATCTTAAAGCTGAACTCCAGACAGATATAAAATATACTTATTTATGTAACTATGTTTTCATTAAATATCATCAAACACATTTTTTAAATACAAGCAGTGTAAGGGAGTGAATTTGACTTGGTATCAGCCTTTTACATCTCCTCTACAGCAGAGTTCAAACTGGTAAAGAGAGAAGCAGAACAAGGAACCAGTCATCTGTGCAGCAGTGCTCATGTGCTAACTAGAGGCACAATGATAGGTGGAGAGAGCAGAATTATGTAAATATTAGTCTACTGCTTCACCTTTTATTGTCCAGTCACAGGCTGAGGGAGAGACAAGACCTGGCAAGACATGAATGTTTTTTCATACCTGCAGTAGAGAACACTTGGGTCTTTGGTCTTGTCATATTAATCTATGCTATATGGCAGAGCTGTATAAATCTCAAAACGGGATAAAAAAATAATATATATATATTTAAAGAAGAGAGGTTCACTCTCGAAAGCTTGTCTTTTATATATTTTGTTAGTCCAAGAAAGACAAGAAAGGTATCATTGCACACTGCAATACTTCATTTTTGGTTTTTTTTCACATCTTGTCTACTGGACTACTACGGCTTACCCATTCATCAGATATCACAGTCTCCCTGACTGATGTGGGGCAGCAAGCGACCTGTAGAACTTCTGCATGTACATTCCTTAAGTGGAGTGGTCATCTCTATCGCTATTGGTTTTTATTTTCATATATAATGTGTATATATATATATATATATACTTTTTTTTGCAGTAATGTTGAACTCTGGCATAAGCAAATATTGTCTAAATGCAAGGGCCATGTGTATTGTTGCTTGAATTTTTGTATGCTTTGTATATTTTTTCCAGATCTGTGCAGTAATCCAGTCCAGCCTCTATGCAGGAACTTCCTGTAATACAGACCAGTCACTGCTCCTCTCTCAACATGTGCAAGGTGACTGGTCATTTACTCTATTGTTTTCTGCAGGCAGCCGGTAGTGGGTGGGGTCTGCTGGGCCCCTCCCACAGCTCTGCTTTCAGCACAGTGATGATATCACTACCACTTTTGCAAGCTCACACCTGGGTTTGCAAAGGCATTTCGTGCATACAAAATAGATTTCCATTCTTTGTGGCTAATGAGGAATAGATTTTAATGAAAGATTTTGTGCCTGTAACAGCTTTTTAAGTTTTTTTTTTATTTAGCTGGTACACTGCAAATTTGGTGGTTGCATTTTGTCTAGCTACTTTGCAGTAAAGACTGCCAGCATTGGCTACCTAGCAGAGAAACACTGCAGCTAATGCCTGACCAGAGCCTTGCAATCTCCTTGTTGTACAGGAATATGAACCAGGTGAATATAGGAAGGCACATTTAAAAGGTATGTCTACAGACCCTTGCCTGTGTACAGATCCTTGCTGACAGGGAGGGAGAGAAACACTCAATATACAATAAATGTTTTCCAGTGAATATAAAAGGTAGGAATGCCTCAGTCACAATGTAAAATAATCCACAGGTGTGTATTCATACACATATTTTTTTATAATACATTACAATATAGACAAGAACAGAGAAGAAATAGTAAACATGAAGCTTGCTGTTAAATATCTTGAGAAAAGGAGTCTGCCTTCATTGCACCTTTAAAGGTGTTAGACATGACAAACACATTTAAGCAGTTAAATCATTCAAAATTGGCCCATACTGATAGACTGTACTTTTCATGAGCAGCTATTGTAAGCAATGAGTTGGTTGCAATGCTTTTGGCAGGTCAAGAGAGAAACATTTTCAAGTCACCAAATTGGACGTGCCTGTAAAGAGTTTACATTGCTCCACTCTGCGTTTATATACATTCATATGTCATAAATATAAAAGGTCCCTACTTCCTCTAACTCCCATATGAACATCATCAGAATCCATTGTCTGTGTACAGTTATACTGCCATGTTAGATTCTGGCAACAGGGTATGCAGGCAAAATTGTAAAAAAATCACATGCTTTTTTTGGTGACTTTTTTTTACTATCTTGTCTCATTGATTTAATACTGTTAAACTGTTAAACACACATTAGTCAAAGGCAGAAGACTAAATATGTAAAAAGATAGTCTCATTTAATTTACCCCAATGTATGCCCCAATTGGGCAGTCCCTGGTTCAAATCCCAGCCAGATCACTATATGCAAGGAGTTTGCATGTTCTTCCTGTACTTGCATGGGTTTCCTCCCACACTCCAAAGACATGCTGGTAGGTTAATTAGCTCCTCTCTCAATTGGCCCTCTATGTATGTATGTGAGATAGGGACCTTAGATTGTAAGCTCCATGAGGGTAGGGACTGATGTGAATGTGCAACTGTGTAAATTGGCAGCACTATATAAATAACTGAAATAAATAATTAAAGTGAATATTCCTTATACTATAAGTATATACTATATACTTATACTATATGCATAAAAATACCTTATTTGTATATCTTTTGAACTTATAAAAATAATAATGATCTGTGATAATAAATTCTGCATTCAGAAGCAAATCTTACAAAAACCTACTATGAGCAATAAGTGTTAACCGGCAGATTAAGGCAGAAGTAAGGTTTGTGGGTTTTGCTACTGTATAGTGAAACCCACTAACTTGAGATAGGTGCAAACAGCAGGCAAAAAAATGTGTGGTGCCAAGACGCTGCCACTTGCAAGATTCTTTTATTTTTATTTTAATGAAATAATAATGATATAGCTTTGAATACAAATATGTTGAGATGCTGAGTTATCTTAACTTATCATTTAAAGAGAAAGCAACAGCCACAAGCGCTTAGCTAGTCTCTGTAGTAACATTTTCCTCATGCCACCAATAGGCTTTGAAGCTGCCTGGTGCTTGACCTGACCTTCACTATGTCTCATACTATGTTTTCTGCATTCTCTACATAATTCATTTTCTACACGTGGATTCCAGCATTCGGCAGCACCATTACAGCTCTGTGCATTTCTTAGATGTCATGTTTCAAAACCAAGTCTTGTGCACTAGCAACTCTCAGGTTGTCTAATTAAGACAGAGTCAGTGAATGGATATGTGTGTATGTACTGAGGAAATTGACAAATGCCAATTCAAGAGGGATATACAAATGGAAGTATTGTATACATTATTAATCTTTAAAAGTCAATGTAGAACATGTTTTTTTCCCTCTATTCCAAGGCCACTGCAGACCTGTAAAGTAACATTTGTATAATCTGGCTCTCATTCCACATTTAATGTATGCAATTGTTTCTCTTCCAGGATATACAGCTTGTGCATACATGGATTTATCTATGTCATGATAAACTGATGATCTCCGCAATGCTGTCACCGACAATTCATTGATGCCGCAAAGTATTTTTAGTAAGTTGCGTGGGAATTAGGGATTTGTCCTTTTTTTTTTCCTTGTCAGTTGTTGAGTTATTACCTGTGAGTGGTGTCTTTCTGTCATATGCAGTAGCATTTACTTAATAATTATTTTAAAGGGATTTTGTATTGTTTCAGGAAATAAAATCCCAATGAATAAGTCTGTGTGGCAAAACAGAAGGATTTTTCCTTTCCTTCTTCCTAGCCATTTGGCATTGGCATGTTTATTTTCTGACTCAATGCAAAATAAGTCCATATATAGGAATGGCTTGATTTAGTTACTATGCACTAGAATAAATGCCTGTGACCAGATCACTGGAGAATTGGATTGTTGAGAGATTCATTCATACATACATACTTAGGATTAGAGTGTCTCTAGGTCTTTAATGTCCAAGCCATACTGTCTGCTCAAAGAACGAAAAACTCTAATTGATAATGGCATATGCATCATATTTGGCCTGTATCAGATTGATTTTACCGCTGTGGTTGTGTGATGTCCTTTCGGCAGAAATCAAATATTGCTCAGGAAGTCATTTGTTTACCCCAGAAGGGTTCTTCTGGGTTTAAGTTTTTATAAAAAGTGGAAAATCTGTAAAAATTAAATACAGATACTTAGATATAATTACGAAGAATAAATGATATATTTTAAAGATTTATGATTTTCTTTTTTTTCTAACCTTAATAATATATGCAGTTTGTTTGTTTTATTTTGGAGGATTGTTACAGTTTACATACAGAATTAGTTAGTTCATAGGTCTCTTCACTTGTTCACATTAACATACATAATAACTTTAGAGCATATCTAATAGCATCTGCTTAGATATGGAAGACTAAAAACATGAGCATCAGATATTGTATGTGTGTATATATGAATGCATGTATAAAAGATATAAAAACACATTTCTGAAACTGATTCATCACTGGTGGGAGTTGAAGTTCTAGGGATTTGAAGCAGCATGGCAAAATGATAAATTAGATTTATAATGTGTAAAGTAAATCAAATGATGTGAAAAACTGTCTGCATTGCCTCACAGCAATCAGTCAGATTTCAATTTTTCAGCTGTCATCTTTCCAGTGCATGATTGATTTTTAACTGGTAACTTTGGGGCAACACAACTAGGCTTATGTATCGAAGGGCCTGTGAACCTGACCTGGCTTAAAAGGTAACAACAATGCTTGTGTAGTAACTTTGTGGTACCAGCATAACCTGTATTATACTTTAAATCAATCCCTGTGTTTACTATGAAACTACTTAAAAAAAAAAACTAACTGATCAAAATAGAAATAAAACTCTCTTTTTATTTATTTTTACATCATTTGTCAACAGATTACTTTGAAAATTAAGATATTTTTGAATGGCAATTTAGCTAAAAGAAAGCCCAGTTTGTCCTCCAAAACAATGTATTTATAAGTTATTTTAAGTAATGACAAAGTTGTCACCCAATAAACAGGCTCATAGTGGAAATGTAAAAAATGATTAAGTCCATAAAGAGTATAAAGGTAAGAGACCTGAAGTGGTTAAAGCAGAATTAAAAATTTTATTAACCTATAGTGGGGCTACCCCCGCACTGCAAGGGTTAACTGCTCGTTTTGGTCTAGGTAGAATAATAACAGAGTTATACTGACCTGATGCCCCTAGCCAGCCGGCACTTAAAGTGGACCTTTACCACCATTCTCTAAAAATCACATCCGCATGCAGCTCTGCATGCTGATTTAAAATCATCTTACATTCATTAGTTACACAAACATGTTTTTCATTTACTTACAAATAGAATATATCCACTTCCTGGTCCACTTTGGCACAAATGGTGTAATGTGCCCAAGCATTGCATCCTGGGAAGGTTACATCAGCAGTGCATTGGTGGTAAATCTCATCTGTAATCTTATCAGATCACAGGGAAAGGCATTTTCCTCTGCTGAGATGATGTACATGGTCACATGTCCTAGTCAAATATCTCAGAGTTTCAGGAAGTAAAGGGAGAGCTAGTAATCTGCCCTTAGTAAACATGGCCACTGCCAGAAGACTGGGAAAAATAAAAGAGAAATAAGGTATGCAATGAATACAAAGTCTGAAATTATCTAGAAGTATGTGTTTGTAGATTGCCATTACTAAACATTTCTAAAGGTGTCTTTGTTGTTATTTTAAAGATATGGGTTAAGGTCTTTAAACCGGTTCCTGGAGCCTCTCTCCCCCTCTACTGCAATGGTCTAAGGATCCTCGAGTCATCACGTCCAATACAGTGTATAGGTCATGATGCCGGGGGGCATGCCATCACTACAGCAGAGGAGTAGACAGGCTGGAGGGAGCACTGTCACAGCCGGCCGGCTCGGAGAATCGGGTGAGTATATCTTTGTTATTTTTTTACCCTAGACAAAAACGAGCATGTAATACAATTTTTAACTGGAGTTGTTTTTCTGAAGCCTTTGCAGAGAGATTATACAAACAGATTGTAGTTTGTGTGAAAATGTCAAAACATGTACTTGCATGCACCAGGGTAAGTGCTCATCAGTGCTGTTGTTACATTAGACACTTTATAGGCCAGGCCAGTATCACTTTAACCATTCTAATCCAAACCTGCACAGGTGACAGATTCTAATTGCAACTGAAGAATGAAAATGTGAATCTTACCGAATGCTATGGGGCAATACAGACTAGGGCTGCAACAACTAATCGACATAATCGATTATAATCGATTATTGAAAAAAATTGTCAACTTTTTCAATAATCGATTAATCGGCTTCCGATCAGTTGGCCCTGTTCACAGCTCCACACGCTGTGCGCCGTACCTCCTCCCCACCTCACGCTCACCGCTGCCAGACCCGCCCGCATCCATGCTCCACACGCCGCACACTCACCGCCCACCCACATCCACGATCGGCACAGGGACGCGGGGAGATGTAGTAAGGAGGAGCAGGTGTGGGGTGATGACAGCCGCCGATAGACAGGCCCGATCTCAGAAGCAAGTTGCTGGAAGACTGCTCAGGTAAGCATGCACGTTCCCACACATGGTACTCTATAATGTATTGCTGGGATTTGTATTCCTCTATAGCTGATGGTACATTGTGCTGTATATTATACATAGGAATACAAATCCTAGCAATACATTATACACTGTATGTATAATGTATTGCTGGGATTTGTTGTACTCTTCTATAGCTGGTGATATTCTGCATTGCACGGTATAGAGGACTACAAATCCCAGCAATAGTACATTATACAGTGGTGCAATGCTGAATACCACCAGCAATAGTACATTATACAGCGCAATGCAGAATGCCTCCAGGTATTATGTACTATTGCTGGGATTTGTTGTATTCCTCTATAGCTGGTGGTATTCTGCATTCATTGCTGTATAATTTTACACTTTCCATTTCACTATATTGCACACCACACTATCTTTCTTTTTTACTTCCACCGCTCCAAGCTTGCTCCTGTGATGGACTACAACCTCAATACAAACTAGTAGTCCCATCACTGGAGCCTTTTTTTAAACTTTATTTTATTGTTTATCCGATTAACCGATTAATCGGACCTAATAATCGGCTAACTAATCGATTTTGAAAATAATCGTTAGCTGCAGCTCTAATACAGACAGTTCTTATTTCAGATAAATAAATTGGGTAATTTGTTCTTACTTAAAGGAAAGACAAAATAATTGCTGCCAACAGAAATATGTTCTTTTTTGTTTTTTTTTGGATCTGCTAACATACAGTGTTTGGATGTAAAGCTCACAGTTTTGAAATCCTATATTTTTCCATGAAGAACACCTAATATAGCAGTCTGTGGAATAAAAGGAAACAAATTAGTAATCTTGCATTAGTGATTCATACATAAATGGTCACCTATTTCAAGTTTCAATTTCAGTCTAATTTTTTATTTATTTTTGGTGTACAGGACAGGGTATGTCCGACATTTTAGTGTAATAAATACAATATTTCTTGTGCAGTACACACTCAATCGGATTATTATGCATAATGATTACTGAGAAGTATATTCCGTCTGGAGATAAGTGCTGCCCTGCACATCAGATAATAGCTGTAGGGGCAATGTTTCTATGTAGTGAGGAACAGCAGAAGTCAATTTGTTCTGCAATTAGTGTTTTGTTCTCTTATGACGTAGGACCCCATTCTTTACTGAGTGCTTCTTCTCCATGAAGTCCTGTTATTTCCACATCAAACTGTATGAAAGAAGTCAAAAAGGGCTTATACCAAAGCTACGAGGCGACCACTTAGAGTTACCTTTTCAGTACTACAGTCATCTTTGTGATTTTGTAGCTATATTTTAATTGCCTGATAAATTTTAAAACGGTCATATACTCCAATATTCACAAATAATGCAGACATTCCCAATATTTTAATTTTAACAACCACATAGTATACAGAGCACAGTGCAGCTGATCCTAAGGGTATTAGGCTGGCCAAATAGGATTTATATTGCGGTGTTTAATGTCTTTGTAAATTTACGGATGTTCATAATAAATTAATACAATAAATTATGACACATTGTTAACAGCCAAGTAAGGTCACATATTTATGATCATTTAAAGTCACCCACCCACTCATTTGCTTTAAATCTAGGATAATAAGGCACATTGTAGGTAAAGTGTATTTACTTTTGCAGGCATCCTGTTTCTTCTTTTCCACTCTTGCTGTTGTGTTAGATATATGCATTGATAACTTCAAATCCTTTGAACCTTGATAATTAGGGATATCGAGAACATCCCAAGCTAGCCAAAATAGTAATAGCTAATATGAAATGAAACCCTGCAGCTTTACACTATACCTAAAGGTCCTGCAGTGATTAGCTTTTTGTGTCAGAACTGTCAGAAATGTCTGCCCCTGTAAAAGTCAGTGGGAATGCAAAAGCAGGTTGATGCAGCTTAGGAGGAGGTCAAATCTAGGCAAAAAGTAGGATCAACTGCAGGTTAAATGCACATGTGAATGAACTCTGAATGATCTCAGAAGTACTTCAAACCTCAAGTGCAAGCAGAATGCAC